CACTCCAAGAGAAAGCCCCAAGCCTTCCGGCAGAATCCATGTCTATTCTGTCAAACAACAAGACCTGAACAATGTGGGACTTTTGCAAACACACATGACAATTCATGACATTTCTGTGCATCTCACAGACTAGGAATCCCACTGCTGCTCCCACAAAACACACCTCTAACAATCTCAACAGATCGACTGACCAGCATTATAGTGGTAACCTATATGTCTGATCCTCAAATTGGATAACACCATGTCTGCACCGGACGCGAGCGGCACAACGCAATGCTGTCTACACTGGTTGCTACACGACATGACAAATCCCAGACAGTAAACCGATGCCTCGTTCTATTTATGATGTACGGACACAAAGTTCAAATGATTTGCAACGATCGCTTTGTCGCGTCCGGTGTAGACACGGCGCAAGGAAACTGATTTTTAGCAGTAACTTATAAACCTACAATGAGCCAGGTTGTTCATCTATGATACATGCTTCTGCTGAAGCCATCAGCCTGCATTATTTCAGCTTATTTTTTAAAAATAAGTTTAACATTGGAATTCCAGGTGGAAAACTACATTACCCATGATTCTGCAAAGAAATCTCCACCAATCAGAGAAGCGAAACAAGCAAAACATCCCAAAAGAACTCTTTAGTGCCCGCACACGGCTCGCAACTTACTTAAATAATTGCACATAGACCTTATTATGCGTCAGAGAAACGAGTACACAGCCATCTTTAGAATATTATGTCTGAACTTCCATTTTTTGCGGCAGCTCTATAGCGTCACTGTTGAAGAGTAATTAGCTGGTGAAGTGGATTTAGTTATTGTAGAGTTAACGAGAGTTATCATTTGCATTGTAATGTTCGAGGCCGATGTCATAACAAATGTCAGTAGGAAGGCGCTTTAAAACAGCGCTTCATTCATAAATTCGTATGACCTTACTTTCACGCTGTGGAAATACAAATGAGCGCAGCGCTGAAAAGGGGTGGAGCTACATAAGGTCTATATATGCATATTGCGCAATAAATGTAAAATGTTATTTCTATTCAACATCTATTCAAATTTCTATTCAAATCAAAATCAATAGTTTTATATTTATCTATGGGTTTTCATTTATTTAATTACAATGCTTCCATCAGTTAAACCCTTGTGCCATTGTCTTTTTGTCCGATTTTCAAATACATTTCGCTCCAAATGTAAGTTTGTAATGATGTTGAGACTGACCTCGTAGCTGGTTGGTGTGGTTCATGACTTAGAACTCCTTAACGAGGACTTTTTTTTTAAAAATCCCTATGGAAAAAATGAATGGGAATATAATATATAAAAGCTCTAAGGCATTTCACGGTTTATGTCATTCCACTTGTCTTTTACAGCAGTCCAGGTCAGCAGAGTTGACTGAAGCTGATTTTTGGAAAGCGTCTATATTTTCTCCTGTTCCAAGATCGCTCGGAGTGGGCGGGAAATGCAAGGCTCAAGGCTCAACATCTTGAGCAAAAGTGCTGTTACATACAGATTCAGTTACATGTTTTGCTTGGTGAGCGAACTACTTGTTTAATAAAGAAAAAGATATGTTTAAATGTCTGTCTGAAACACAAATTGCTGCCTATTGTTCATTGAATTGAAAATATCACTTGAAACGTGTGACAGAAGATAATGCAGTGCCCTGTAGGACGACTACACTTCTCATGTCAGGGTTTGATAAAGTGTCTTTATATTCATCAGCATGACAGACAGAGTGCTTCCTGTATGCCTAGAAACACGTGTTGCAGCTTCATGCAGGAGCAGGAATGATTGACGGTGAACACACTTGACCTGCTTGATTTACCAGACTGCAATGTCCTGGGAACACACACAATGGAGTTCTATTTCTATCTCTGACAGAGGACACCGCTGGGACAGGATCCGCCCACATTTTTAGGGGCTGTCCAGGAAAACGAAAGAGACCGGAGAGGACACTCCTCCAGACATATCGAGGCCCGTCCTTGATGTCAGCAGCATGCAAAGAAATGCTGGCTTTTCCTTCCAGAAAGCCCCAAGCCACACATTTTTGCTTATTTAACTTTGCATTAGTCAAATACACACAGATATGAGCACAATCAATGGATTTCCTGCAGAGCTTAGGTACTGCGTTGGGTCACCACTTGATGTCTAATGTAAAATCGAGGTGTTGAAGGAAAACCACTAGTTTTGAGTAAATTATGTAATATTTAGAAGAGGTTTCTTTCTAGTCCTCACAAGCATGAGTAACCAAGCGCAGTGGTGAGGAGAACACTTAATGCTGGAATTATGAGTCAGAGCAACAACCCACTCCACCTAGCCTATGTTTTTCTCATAAGGTAGTTTTTCTGGAGTCAAAATGACAGATTGCTGATATAATTTTATTCAGCTGATTTATATGTATTTTATTAGTTTTTATGACTTATTCAAAATAATGATATTTTATAACAGATCATTTTTATGATTGTCTTTCATAGATGTTCAGTAAGTTATATCCACAAATGAATTTTAATTAAGTTTACATTTTTATTTATTTTATTGCCTTTTTACACAATAACAACCAATTATTACTTAATAGATTACTTTTATGGATTATTGACTTTTTATATATGTTTAATAACTTCTATGCATAACTGAGTTATAGTTGTTTCATTCTTTATTATTTTATTGGTTTATTAGACAATAATAACATATTTTATTACTTTATTATTATGTGTGCATTGCTCACTTATATTATTTATTTAAAATAATATTTTTTATTACAGCTTATTTGTATTTATTGACTTTTCTTTGTAAAAAAAGTGTGATAGCTTATATTCACAACTTTTATTATCCTATTCTTTTTTTACACAATAGTTACCACAACAATAAAAACCCTAATATGCATTATGCATTTATTATTATTAACCCATGGCCAGCACGCAGCAAATCTGGCATCACAAAACCCACATAAGATGCTCAAAAATGCTCCACGCGATTATGAAGCCTAAAAACAACAGTTAAGAACAGAAAATGATTAAACTTAAAAACAGTGCAATCAGTTCGGACGTAGCACAGTGCGTAGGCATCTCACTCGACTCCAAATCCATACATCCATTCTCATTTCCTGCTCATTTGATTCATGCAAAGTAAGCCCAACAATGTGATCTAGCACGCATGACACTTTTAAAACACGGACATTCTCAAACAACATGTCCAATATCGAATCGCTGAACATTTACCATTGGACAGCCACCGGTGGCTTCTGCAGAGCAAACACTTCCACAGCAATGCTGTTAAGAGTGCAAGACCTTCCTTGTGCAAAGAGCATGTTCTCACTCAACGTGCAATGCTGCAACATGGCTCTCAACAAACAAACTGGACCAAACGCAAGAGGCCCGAGCGTGTTATGCAAGATCATCCAGTGAGGTTATAGATATTTACCACACGGTTCCATAAGCTCCAGAACCCACGGGCGACAAACTCTGGTAGCGCTCCGGAACCTCCCATATGGTCTTATTGAGCTCCTGTCGATAGAAAGTCGGTCTCTCCTTGTGGGACATTCCTGTAGAGGAGTGGAAACTTCTGTGCTGCTTGCTTGATATAAACAAACACAACAACTAAGCGCAAGCTCCGCGTTCAGTCCTATCCGCGTGCATTAGAGGACTTCAGTCAAATGCATAAGATCTGCACAAACTCCAGCTCTGATCCTGGAGGAGTCGCGAGGTGGCAGAAAACGCGTGAGATTTCTTCTGCGGATTTCTTTTTCTTTTTCTTTTTTTTTTTTTCTCCCGTTACAGGTTCTCCTCTGACGAACACGCTTGACGTCACTGCACAAGGGCAACTCTCGGGACTTCGTCCCAAACCTCGCGAGAACTTCTGTTTATTATGATTACTCAATATTAATATAAGCAACACCGAAACAGAAATAATCATTCACGACATGTATACAAAGTAACTGTTTAAATTATATGAGCAGTAAAATAATAATAATAAAAAATCGAATAGCCTTTAGACTTTGTTGCTCTTTTGTTAGTTTTGACTGCTTCTATTAGTCGCCTCTGGCTTGCTTAGTTGGGGACACTTCATTTCCAGCGATACCGTTGACTTGATTGCAAAGATACTATTTAAACTGAGCTGGATGTTGACATCACTGAATTCAATGATGAACTGTCTTTAACTGAAAAATTTGTGTTTACTATTGTCATTTTGCATTATTGACACTATTTTCCTAATTAATGCTGTTCAGTTGCTTTGACACAATCTGTATTGTTAAAAGCACTATATAAATAAAGGTGGCTTGACTTGACTTGACTATTGTCCTCATTTGGATAAAAGCGTCTGCTAAATGACTAAATGTAAACACTGCAATATTCAGTATACTGTATGTATGCTTGAGGCAGTTCCTCAGTAATATTAATGACTAATATATGCTTTTATCTTTTTATTTTCTATTTGACATTCAAATATGTCATAATATCTCTTAAGATGTTCAGGTACCAGTTTAAAACGCCATATAAAAAATAAAATGTATTGCTTAATACTTCTCAAACATAAATAAATCTAATCCTTTCGACAATAAAACAATATATTTATCGGTAATAAAACAATAGTAGGCCTACTACTAGTACGCTGAATTCGGAACCGCATACTAGTAAACTACTCTTACTGCTTACTATTCATACTCTTACTAGTACTTGAGTACTTGCTACTTTATTTCAGCGTTAGTAAAAGCGCGGAGGTGGTGCGCTAATCTGATTGGTTCATCCTTAAAAGCGCTGAGAAAAGTAACAGGTTCCACGTGGCGGCGTCCGGGCGCGACATAAACAAACACTTTACGGTAACTTTTATAGCTTCTGAAATCAAAGTGCACAGTGAAAAGTTCAAATTGAATTCTTATTTAAACCATCTCAACAGCACTGATTTAAATATGCTTAAAACTTTCGGTGGATCACATAACTGCTACACACAACAAACACGAAAGGATTCAAATGAAAAGGACAACAACTGAACACACCTAGCTAGCACTTGCATAGGATTATACAGAAAATATTTATTATGTTCCACGTTTACAAATATGAACCTCCAACAACTAGCATTTTCTATAGAGCTTGACTGTGTACATTTACAGGCTGAACGAGGATAGTTCAGTTGTGGACTTTAGTACATGAAGAGTTGATGATAGGTTCAGATACCACATGCATTTGAATGCTTAAATACAAAAGAACATCCTGGCATCTACATGTTTGTAATGTGTAATAGACAAAAATGCATCAACACAAAAAAAATATCATAGGACTGTATTACAGAAATCTTAATTCTTGACTCAAGAGTTGAAAAAGTGAAATTAACCCTCTTATTTATATATGTTAAAGATTGAACTTGTAGTGTATTTCCCCAAAACGATTAGAATTTTCCCAATTATATCATATCATCCACATATAATGTGATAGCAGGATCATTCAGAAAAGTGTTGACGTCTATGTTTATTGTAGTTTTATGTAGCTGTGTATTTATCAAACCGAACCAAACAGACACATCTTCACAATGAAATCACATGGTGTTGATCAAGAAGGTTTGCTTTTACATATATTATAAAATTAAAGTATATATGTGGTATCAAAAAATAATGTTGTACAAGTTTTGTTTTGATCTAGTAGCATTACTAGTTTGCCTATTTGAATGGGAAGGTTTCCATGAAGTCTATGGAACATTTTTCATAATTTGTCCCATGCTGCAAACAATAGGTCTTATATGTTTATTATAAACATTTGGGGTCATTTGAATAATGACATAAGCCATTCATGACACCTAAACCTAAAATAGCTCTCAATAAATGACATTTTTGTAAAAAAAAAAACTTATATTCAAAAATTGTACAAGATAACATTGTTTCTGCCTTCTTTACTGTACGCCCAAGCAAAAGAAGTTTGAATCCATAATAAGTTCTTCATTTCATCATCGGCAGGTATTACGGTTTAACCCTGATCCAAGACCGAATTCACCCGAAATCTAACCTTAAGTTAAACATTTACAGAAATGGAAAGCAGGTCTTAAATTGGTGCTAAACCGCAGGTGGAGTCGGCTCTCTGTGCATCTTCGCCAGCACTGCATTTCTACAGGCGTTCAGAGTCCAGTTTCCAGAGAGAGCGATTCATCTGGGTCACTTCAGAAAAATCAGGTAAAATGCCATACACATACAGGACGCCGCCACAGCAATGTGGAGCCGTGTGCCTATTACTGCAGCTGCAGAGAAAAGAGAAAACACACAGCGCATGAAACCTCACTGCAACGCCATGAGCTTCATTACAGATCCGACAGATGGCTTACCTTTGTAAAAGACTCCCCAGACACCCTTCTTCTCAGACAAGAGCCAGCTGTTCAGACGAGGGACCTTCTTCAGGTATGCACACGTGCAAATGAAAAGAAGCCCAAATACAAGAATGCCGTCGAAAGAGTACACTGTGAATAAAGAGCACACCATTAACCCTCTATTACACGCAGCTCAAAAAGTGTGCTGTAAACTGAATAGAAAAAATAAACAAACACAACACAGAGGGATACAGAACTCATAAAGTGATGATTTATTCACACTTTCCAAAGTAATCACACTTTATGGTGTTATGGTCAAATATTCTTATAATTACTTAAAGCGTCTGCTAAATGTAAATGTAAAATTACACAATAACTATTGTTCTACAGTTTGGGACGGTAAGATTTTTTTTAATGTTTTGGAAAAAGGTCTTATGCTCAACAAGGCTGCTTTTATTTCATACAAATACAGAAAAACAGTAATGAAATATTATTACAATTTAAAGTAATTATTTGCAATTTTGGGACATTTTAAATGTAATTCATTCCTGTGATGGTGATGGCAGGCTGTTTAAAGCAGCCAATACTCCAGTCTTCAGTATCACAAGATTCCGCAGAAATCTTTTTAACATGCTAAATTGGTACTCAAAAACATTTCCTATTATTAATAATGTAGAAAGCAGCTATGTAATGTAGATAAATACAAGAATTATTAAAAAAAAAAAAAAACACCTTGACCCCAAACTTTCAAACAGTAGTGTTTAATAATAACAATAGTTCCTATTACTTATTTCACTTCTGTTTCAGTTTTTATAACCATTTCTTACTATGTGTCAGTAAGTTGTTGTTTTTTAGCATGTGTGTTTGGCAGTGTTATTTTTTAGGATTA